GGCCAAACTCATTTTCTGTATGAATTTTCTTAGAATAAATCCAGTCTTACGTAGGAAAAGAGGATATCTTATTATCCATTCAAAACATTTTAATATGAAAACTCTACATTATTGTTTTTATTAATTATTAATAGAGTGCAAGAGAACATGGCAGTGGGTAATGCAAACACTACGGCACAGCCTCTGCCTCTAGGGATGGACAATTGCGGACAAATATGAACAGGATTGCCTCAGCCCCAAATCCGGTGACATGGTCCCTCTTTGCCGCACTAAAGTGAGACGTAACTATTAGGTTGGCGCAAAAGTAATAGCGGTCTTTGCCATTAAAAGTAATGTCAATAACAGAATAGAATAGAATAATAGAATAAACGAAACCCTCCCTGCTGAGCTCTTGCCTTGTTTGATGTCACTCACGTTTCGCCTTGTTTGATGTCACTTACATAACCAGTGAATTTTTTGGTCTTAGTATCTACTGAAGTCCAGGCAAAGTAAGACTCAAAATACAAGTAAGAAGTGTCCTCAACTCCAAGGTTAATAAAGTAAGAAAAGTACTGTTCTTTTTTTGTTTTTTGTTTTGAGACAGAGTTTTGCTGTATCATCCCGGCTAGAGTATAGTGGCGCAATCTCCACTCACTGCAATCTCTTCCTCCCAGTTCAAGTGACTCCCCTGCCTCAGCCTCCAGAGTAGCTGGGATTACAGGTGACTGCCACCACACCAAACTAATTTTTGTATTTTTAGTGGACATGGAGTTTTACCATGTTGGCCAGGCTGGTCTCAAATTCTGGATCTCAGGTGATCCACCCGCCTTGGCCTCCCAAAGTGCTGGGATTACAGGCATGAGCCACCGTGCCAAGCCAGAAAATTACTGTTCTTACAAAATAATAAGTCCTTTCACTAAAAGTAAGAAACAGTTATAAACAAATAATTAAAGGAAAACAAAACTTCGCATTCAGAGATAAGGATGAAATAAATTTCTCTAACCTAACTATTGAATATTTTTGTAAAACATTTTACCCCAGAATCTAGCTCTCAACACAATGCCTAACATGTAACAGGTGGTCAAGAAATACTCATTTGTATTTCCACAAGCTATTTTATTTCATTTTAAAATATGTATCTTATTTCTGCTACTTTGGAGATAAAATAAAAATTGGAGAGCTGTACTTATGGTTTAAAATCATACTTATGGCTTCTCTCCATTTGGGAGGAGGCCTGGGAGAGGGGAATGGAGTTAGCAGGACTGTCCTCTGCCTTCCTTCCACTCTAGCATACTTTGGGGCATTTAGTAGATACTGAGCACATATTGATGGGTGGGGAGCCATACTTTCTCCCTATGCTAGTGTGTAGAAGAATTGATGTTATATTCAGGCTTTTTCTATAAGCTGTACTCCCATGGAAAACAGTAATCTCTCACTCTGGCGAAAGAGAACCTAAAGGCAGAAGAGGCAGGAAATGCATGTCCCTGAAAACAGAGATGAGTCAGCACTTCCTATGAAAATGAAAACAGGTCCAATCATAAGAACGATATGGAATTATTTCACTGTGTTGTTCTAAGTTTTTTTTTTTTTTTATGAAAACTTGCCATGTTTTGCCTTATTTATATAAAAATATTTTACTGACAGTTAAGGATTATATATATTCAAGGTTCACAATATGATGATTTGATAGGCAATACATTGGGAAATGATTACCGCAATCAAATTAATTAACAAATCCCTGGAACCCATGCTGTACATTAGATCTCCAGAACTTGTTTATCTTCTAACTGAAAGTTTTGTGCCCTTTGACCAACATCTCCCCACTTCTTGCACTCCCCAGCTCCTATGGCAAGATCCTGGCTCAGCAGTTTGAAAATATATGCAAAATCTAACAGAAGATATTTAACAGGGCCCTACTGAAATGAAATTCTAATTGGGAACTAAAGTCTAAAAGCAAAATCAAACTTATAGAGATTTGCTAGGTCACAAATGCCAGTGACCTCACGTCCCATATTTTCATTTCAGCTGATTTGTTCAGTTTTAGTCTCTTTTCTTTGAACCCAATAACCAATCTGGTGTCTTTTATCTGGAACCTGATAAATTCCTCGCCTTGAAACATAAAACCAAACTGTTAAGCTGAATTGAACTAAATTTTTCTTAAAACAATATATTTTAGGGAACTTCTATGTCCTTATCCATCTAAGGTATGTATGTGTACAAGTCTCTATGTTACCTCTAAATATAGAGTGAAATTAACCAACAGATCAAGTAATTTCAGACTATGGAAGGGACAAAAATTTGTCTAGGAGGGACCAAGAAGACTTTGTGAGAAAAAACTCAGAAAAAAGCTTAAAAAGGTCAGATGGAAAAAAAAAAACAAAAAATAGTTACAAGGCATCATCTTGGGGTATTTTACAGGTTCATGGATCCACAGAATGATTACTGTGGCCTGCATGCCACACATTTTGTCAAGGAAAGGGCCTGGGTAAGGCATAGCAGGAAAAAGTAAAAAAGAGTTTGTTCAGTGAATATAATTTGAAGTTTCTTATGACAGGTCTTCAGAGCCAGACTGCATGAAGTCTGGTGAATAATGAAAATTAGACTTTTCACCAAAATGGGACGGTCCCCGATTACATTATCTATCAGTAGATAGTAGACCACCTGCGTAAGTGTGTGTGTTTACCGTGCTCTCACCTAAGTTACCAGTTGCACATATTAATCAAATTGCCCTCCCCCCTCCATCCAGTTTTCTATTGCCTGTCCTACCTTGTGCCAGTTTCCTTTCTCCTCCCCAACGCCCTTCGCTTCACTCTTCTTCTTTAAGACATGGGATGGGGATTTGTCAAAGTCAATGAGCACTTTATTACAGTGAGAATGCTCCGTAATGAACAATTCAGCAATTTAATGAGATTCTGTAGATCTGTCTCCAGACTGTCCATCAAGTTTCACTTCTATAAAGCACCCTGACACTAATCCTCTGGCATACCCAATCTCTACCCTGGGCTGAATATTAGATTCTTCCATGGTATATTGCATTACTAGTATAACCTCGGCAAAAATGATGAACTTAACTATACTTGAGGCAAAATAACTGATCTGATTTGATTTTTCTCTATGGGGTTGAATATGAGGGAAATATTTATTTACTAAGATAAAGCAAAAACAGTTTCTTATTGCCTGCTGAATGCCTAAATTGATAATATTTATGTGAGTCTTTTAATTCTTTCTTGAGAACCAGGTATTAAAAAAATTATTGCCTGCAGCAGAAACCAGCTTTTAAAATTCTACATTATAATATTAGTAACCTTTAGAGAGGCAATTATGATAACTCTTAAGTGGACAGTATGGAATTTTCTTGACACTCAGCCATCTGCAGATTACCATGTCGATCTCTGGCAGTGCCTTCAACTGCGTCACAAAAAGAGATAGAAGCCACAAGGATGGTTAGCCTTAGATATCAATTCAGTTAGAAAAAATTAAATGCAGGATTCATTCCAAATCTTTCTTTTTCCCTTGGGAAGTGAAGAAAATGTGGCTACTTCCCACTTCAAATTGACCAAAGCAAATTCTGTTTATTTATGTTTATAAGAAAGAGCCACAGATAATTGAAATTTCTACCAAATTCTACACATCCTCACCAACATGTTCAACCTCTGCCTGAACAAACGTTACCAGAAATAACCCAGGAACCACAAAAATTTATTCTTTAGTGATTTTTTGTCCCTATATTTTCTTTATCAAGGCAGTGAAGACATGGGAGCAGGTGTCAGCAGACCTACATTTGAAGGCTAGCTCTGCTCTGTGACTCCGAGCAAGGCAAAGAAGCCTCGTTTTGTGCATCAGGTAGATGCAGTGATAATAGTTATTCTTTCTGGACTGCTGTCAATAAGTTTGCAAAGAGCCTGGGACTCAGAAGGCCTTCAGGACGCTGCAGCTCTTTAATTGCCTCTGGTGGAAGCGATAATGAAGAGGGAAGTTACTGATTAAAGTAATACAAATAATGAAATAAGGGAGAAAGACATCAGGAAAATCATTAGCCAGTAGAGTCAGCTACCCAATAAACAGCTACCTATATGACTCTATTTTGGCCAGGATTAAAATATTCTCTAAATATTACTTGATAAGATACTAGGAATTCACTGTTTAATCAGCTAATTGAAGCTGTTAAATTTTCTCTGGTAGCCTGTATATAATTATTTTTCAAATGGTTGTAAAATCTTGGAGGCATGGCACCCTAGAACTAACAAAACGGCTAGCCAGTGCTTCAGAGAGTGAGACAGACAGGCTGTAATAGGAAGGGGGAAGATGGGCTCTCTAACTGTTCCCCAAAGACACCATGTGGATTGTTCAAGGATAGTCACTGGGGATGAGCAGAAGAGGATTTAAATTGGATTATCAACTTCAAACCACAAAACATCCTCCAGTCCTCTAGACAAAGGAGTGACACAATGTGAAAAGAATGCTATGTCAGGCGAAAAGGCAGGGCTTAGGAAAATAGCAATGAATGCAGAATGAACTAAGGATGGAGATTTTTCCACTGCTGTGCAAAAAGAGCTTCATTTCATTCGAGATCCAAGCTGCTCTCTATTGCAACAAAGAAATGTTTCAGAATTGTTTACAGCAAAGGCCCAAATTTACTCTGAGTCTACTAGTTTTAAATATGCATACATATCACTTTACAATCCATTTTTTCCTCATATTTAGTTTAGGAAACAATTTTTTTTCAGGAAAAAAAAATCACTTGACTCAGATGTGACCACATTAGGTTCTGGGTAGCCACAGTGAGGGTCTCATGAATCGCCCCTGCGATTCCCTGAGTTAAGCTGCAGAGTGCACTGAGGGCTCTGAGCCTTAAGGGCTAGCATTCTCCAATTACTTGTCCATCAAGGAAGCATGGCTTCTAAAACAACTCCATGAGGACCAAAGCCTCTAAAATACTGGTAATTGTTCCTCAATCCTTTAACTTCCAATCATGGCATGCCTTGTCAGTGCCAAAAGAGGACTGTGCACAGTGCCCTTACCTGCCAGATCTGCTCTTCGCTTAGGGAGGTCAGGCGGTCACTCTTCAGCACCTCCTGAAGCAGGCAATAGGGAAGCGTTAGAACGTCTTCTGGGCGGCTCTTCAGAAGTTCAGAGAGATGTTTCACTAAGAAATCGATCACTGCCTTCTCCAACAAAGTGAGGTTAAAGAGGTCAGCAAGTCTGTACAGATCCAAGTAATTAAAGCTATTTAATTCCTGGGTGCCAAAAAAATAAAAATGAAAAAAGATCTCTTAGAAATCAATACAAGAAAGAGCAGGCAAGAAATTCAGATTGACTCACTAAGGTTTTCATCACAGAGGTGGGAGAAATGGGACGGATAATGTAAAAAAAAAAAAAAGAAAAGAAAATCTAAATTAAAAGGCTCTGCATAGAGAACTGCTATTCTAGAATTCATAATTTTTACTCATTTTACTCTTCTTAAAACCCATATATTTAAAGACATCTTAATAAAAGGAGTGAAAGGGGTCTCTGGATTCAAGGCCTGAAATGTTACTTTGCAACATTCTAGAGACATTTTACTAATGAAAGCAATTGATTTTTCTACCCTTACCATATTTTATGGCTTTTTCTCTACTAAAATTAATGTAAGGGCAGGTAAACTGAGACCCATGATTAGGTGACACAAACTACATATGAAGATAGACTGACTCTGCTCTTTCTCCAAAACTTCAAACTAAGTAGGTCTTTAAGTCAAAACAACCCATCATGTCTTAACTAAAACCCAGAGTTTCATATATAAGGTCTCAGGAAATGAGGAAATCTCACAGAAAGGACTCCTGTTTGAATAATTATATATTGAATCCACCTAAGATGGATGATTTGTAATTGTTCTTTGTTTTTTTTAGCCTCAAATATTCCATTTTCCCCATCTTTTTGAAGAGTTTCTGCAGAAATGCTTCCAATCTGGGAGGATTTTACCTGCGCTCTCAAGCTCATAGCCAGGGCTCTACAATTCTTCCTCCAGAGAGCCACAGCTTCCACTGTACCTTTGTCACTGTACCCCCACAAAAGTCATAGGTACAGTACACTTGTTCACAGAAAATTTACATATGTCAAGTAGAATGAGAGTGGGGTGTTTCCTACTTTCCCCTGACTTTTAATTTACAATTATTAATATAATCATGGGCAATATTTTCCAATAACTTAAGAAATGTGGAATGCTATCAGATCTCTATTTTACTCTATAAATCCAAGTAATTTTCAACATACTTTTCCCCCTTTCTAGTTATCTAAGAGTATTAAGAACTCTTTACTGAGGTGCAGTTTGTACCTCAGTAAATAACTGTATGAAGTGGGGAGTTGAAGGAAAAAGAAAACTCACCCCGAGGCAATGATAACATAGCACACACTCTTCCTTTTGGGGCAGATGGGCTCTGTGAACCTTAGGCAAAGCCATTGCTTCTTGTCCTTTTGGTTAAACCATGTGTAAGCAACATAAGCACCAATAATTCTGCTTTTAAACTTTCCATTAACGTGATGGGGGAAGGTGGGAGGCAATAGTTAAATGCATTAAATGCCCACCAATAGTACTATGGATGGGGAAAAAATTACGGCTGTTATAGAAAGAGTGCCATTTCTAGTTCTAAAAAGTAACAAATGCTCATTTCATAAAATTCAGAAAATACAACATATGGAAAACAAAAATCATTCATAATTTCACCATGCAGAGATAATCGCTATTAATGTTTTTGTATATATGCTTCTAGACTTTTAAAAAATAAGTCTTTTATATGCTGAAAAAAGGGACAATAATTGCATTCAGGACCAAACAAACCATGAGCCACCAAAGGCACTTGGAGGCAACCAAGGCAGGCAGAGAAGAGCAAGGGCAGTGGAGGCAGGCAGAGTCGGCTCAAACCCAGACACACCATTGACTGGGGATTTGAATCCAGCTTGACACATCATTGACTGGGTCAGTCACCGAATCTCTGTTATTCCCCAAGTACAAATTTAAGAGCTCAGCCAGCTCATAGGGTTGGCATAAAGACAATGCATGAAAAGCACTTCCCATAAAAGTTTGGTACATGGAAAGTACATAGTAGATTGTGGGGGAAAGCAAGAACAATGAAGTGTATTTGAGCATTGTTGTTTGGGACCCATAAACCATGATTAATCATTGATGCAAGGAGGTCAAAACGAAGCATGTGTTTTCTTTATATATTCAAGTCCTGAATAAGGCACACCATTAACTCAGGGAAAAAGGGGGTGGCCAAAGTAAAAACCATAGAATTAAGATAAAAACGAATTGCAAGTTAATGCCTTCCACATCTGTATAACTAACTCACATCTTTCTTCTAAGCTCTGAATTCATTTTCCCAACTGCCTATAAGAAGACACTGTCTCTCGGATATCCCACAGTAATAAACTCATGTCCAAACTGAGCTTATTTTATGATAGCCTTCATCTTCTCCTGTATCTTCTCTGTTAGATAACAGTCACATATAGCCACCCACATCAAGAGCCCAAAAGCTGGCCCATACTTCTCCCTTATAGCTAGTCAATTGCCAAGTCCTGTCTCTTTTTCCTCTTTAGTATTAGTTCTGTCCCTTATCATTCCGTCTGGGCTTCTTGCAACGGTGTCCTAAATTACCATTCCTGCCTCCAGTTGCAAACTCTTGATCCTCTCTTTTTTACAAGAATCTTATCATGTTCATCATCTCTTGAAAGCCCACAAATAAGTTCCTATTTGCATTTGGGGAAAAGTCCAAACTGAGTGACACTGTATAGCCTTCCATGACCTGGACTCTGTGATCTTTACATCCTGCTGTGCAGCAACCCTGTCCACCCTGGCTTGGCTCTAGCCATGACAACAACCTACACATTCACACCATGTGCCAGGACTACAGCAGGTACTGGCAACGCAGATGAGCAAAAAAAGGGCAAGCCCTAGGCCTTGTGGGGTATATAGTCTGCTGGAAGAGAAGGCCATAAATCAAAAAAAACTTACAATTACTTGAAAAACTATAACTGAGGTAAAAGTTACAAAAAGTAGAATATAGGACTATGAGTGTCCACAACAGGGATTTGACTTGGAGTTAGTAAAAGACTAACTTGGAGTTGACTTGGAGTAGAAAATTAGTAATGGCTTTCCTGAGAAGCCATTTGAGGCTGAGAGTTGAAGGAAGAGCATCCTTTGTTCACTTGGCAAAAGGTAGGATGTGGATGTATATTAACTACATTTTATTTCTGTGTTCTCTATGTTCTGGCATCCAGGGTCTCACTGACTGGGAAGAGACTGCCCCTCCCAGGGCTAGCCAATTCTCTGAGAGAGCAAACAGCTTTCATATACACACTAACCAATCCAGAACCCATACTCTGAACCACCTCCTCTATGTGGCTCCTAGACTCCAGGAGGCAATAGTCCTCTCTCCCCATCATCCCAGGAGCAAGTACCAGACAACCAGAGCCAGCCCCTACACCCTAGAACCCATGAAAACTGTCAAACTAGCCAATCATAAGCCTGCTAACCCTGCCTTGCCCACTTCCTTCCTACAGATACCATTAAAAAGCCTCTTGCCCATTTTTCCCCCTCACTCCTGCCTCCTCACCAACCCTGGGGCTTCGTGGTCCTGGAGGTGTGGCCAGTGCCCTCTTCTTGGAGCTGAAACAAACCATGTTTTCAATGGCAATTGTCTTCTGACGTGTTGGACTCACCATTACTCAATAATAAACATCATTCTCAGCAAACTAACACAAGAACAGAAAATCAGACACTGCATGTTCTCACTCATAGGTGGGAGTTGAACATTGAGAACACACGGACACAGGGAAGGGAACATCACACACCAGGGCCCATCAGGAAGTGGGGGGCCGGGGGAAGGGAAAGCATTAGAAGAAATACCTAATGTAGATGATGGGTTGATTGGTACAGCAGACCACCATAGCTCACGTATACCTGTGTAACAAACCTGCACGTTCAGCACATGTACCCTCAGAACTTAAAGTACAATAAAAAAGAAAAATAATAATAACAAAACCTACATTTTAAAAAAGGATGATGGTGGGATTTCAGGAAAATGCTCCAAGCTACAGAAGCAGCATGAGCAAAATTCCTATGGGTGAGCAATTGTGCTTCCCTTGTTGCATCTGAATATCCTCTATAGCACATCTCCCTTCCTCTCTCTGTCGCCCTCTGTCACATTTCTCCATCTTATTTGTTTTAGAGCTTATCGCCACCTATAATTATCTTCAGCATTTATTTGCCTACTTGTTTATAATACGTTTATCTCCTCCTCTGATTCCCCAGTAAGTTCTACAGGAGGAAGGAGCTACTGGTTTGTTCACCACTGTATCCCCAGATCCTAGAACAATGCCAGGTACATTCAAGCTGCACTTGCTGAATGAAGAAACCATATCATCTTTTTAACCTCCCTGGATCAGGTCAAATTGACCACCTCCTCCTGTATGCTTCTGCTTTGCCCTCTACAAATATGTCTAGCACATCACTTGTCACTGCAAACACCCTTTGACTGCAGATCTATCTCCCTCTACCAAATCTAAGCTTCTTGGAAGCAAGGATTGTGTTTCACGCCTTGTGTGTCCCTGGTATCCAGTAGAGAGCAGATGCTTAATACATGTGTGTTTAATGAAAGAATGCCCATGAGCTTTTTCTGTTTACTTATAATTAGGCAAAAACAGAATAGCCCATGTCTTTCCAATATGTCTATCCAATTCTGAACCTTGTCCAAATCAGGCCATTTTTCATACCTCACAGGCCTCCCTGATTGCCCTTTTCTCTATCTGGCCTTTGACACATACATACAAAGGCAAAGCAGTGGTCATCCTGTTTCCTGGGTAGGAAAATTGGTAATCACAACTAGAGTTGAAAGTGTTACTGAACAAGTACAATATAATCATTCTTCTGTGACAAAAAAATCAATCAACTCTAAATTTCTTTTTCAGTCCAACAGAGAATTGCTTCCTATATCAACTGGCTATTTAAATCAAAAGATTTTAATATCTTTTCAAATGATATTTTGTCCTAATTACAAGATTGTCTCTTTTTTTCTATATTCTGTGACTTAAAAATCCAACTACCCAGGTAGATGCGGTGGTTTTGAATGGAAATTACAGCTCAGCAACAAGAAACTCTCTTGAGTAAAAGAAAATCTTTCCCTTTTTTTTTAAAAAAGGTTTCATTTCTGTCACACTGTTTCTCACTTGAAATTTAGTTTCTATTCAGAATTATGGTGCA